CAACCCACTTAGGTATAAATGACAGAAAGTAACATTCGTCAATTACAACAATCAAGACAATCACATATGAGTTTAAACTGTGGGCTTACATTGTGCAAGAAATCCAGCAATTGTTCTTTTATTTTTTAAAATATGCATTAACAATTCGAAAATTGAACTCACCAGCAATGTAACCTTTGTTTTTGGAGGTTGGCTACCAAGTACTCCATTTATAATTGTCCGGGTACTAAAGGACTTCTGGTGTCAGAAGTGGACAAATATCAAAATTGTGAGGAGAATTATCACTGCAAACACTGCAGCAACAATAATTGCTAGAGTTTTGTTAGGCACACAACCCGTATCTGCTTCCCAATCTCCCAACCATTCTCCTCCTGAGTAGTGTCCTCCTGTACCTCCAACCTTCACCACTCCTTCACTCCTATACCCATTATTGATCAGAAATGGGTCTGTATAACTTCCACTGAGAGCTTTGTTCCCTCGTACTATTCTCACCGTTACAATGAAGTTCAGGCTGCCTGGAGTTCCCAGATCGTAAGCTTTCACTCTGAAAACGTATATATTCGAGCCGTCAATTCCAATGGGAGGTAGATTTTGTTTGAGGTAGCATACTCCTGTTGTCTGATCGATGGCAAAGAGAAAGCTCTTGGCCACCCTTGTTGTTGCCAAATCTGATGAATTCTCGGGAAGCGCTTCAGAAATCATCAATTCGTATTTGATGGTGGCATTTTCTCCTTGATCATTGTCAGCAGCATAGCAGCAAATATGGTTGTTCCAGCTACCATCTGGTCAGGACTGAGCATAAATTCAGCCAGATTTCTGGGAGACTGGATTTGAGGAGGGTTGCCATTCTGGTCCAACACCACAACTAGAACTGTGGCCGTTGCTGTGAAACGAACGGTTGAGTGGCCTGATGGATTTTCAGTATTCAATGAGATGTTATCCACTGCATGGACAAGAAACTCATAGTGAACACGCTTTTCCCTATCCAAATGGCCTCTCAAACGAATAATCCCCCTTCGTGGGTATATTTGGAATAAACTGGTTATCATAGAATTGCCATTTGGTCTGTATGAATGGTTGGATCCCCCAGTTTGATGCTCATCAACAGCAGGGCTATATCGAACTCGACCGTAATCACCTGTGTCTGCATCTGTGGCTTTGACTCTTCCTACCTCTGCCAGTTCTACATTCTCCTCCACCTCGAAGTTGTAGTTTGCTGACTCAAATTCTGGTTGACAATCGTTCATATCCGTTACGATTATTCTCACCTTAGCACTACCTGATAACTTACTGTAGGTGGTGTGGTTTCCCTCTGCCTGATCTGTTGCAATAACTGTAAACACAAATTGTCTTGTTTTCTCCCTATCAAATGGGGTGATAAGATAAAGACTTCCATTAATCGCGTCTATTTCCACAACTCCTTTGGCATTCTGTGAGACAGAGTACTGAATTCTGGCATTTGGACCAGTATCACGATCCGTAGCCTGAATCTTCCCTATGAAATGCCCGATTCTATTGGTGCTCTTGTTCGAAGGGAGATTTTCTGCAACTTTGAAAGTGTATACACTGGAGGCAAACTGTGGGGGATTGTCATTAATGTCCTCAATGTTGATGCATATATCCGCACGAGATGTCAATCGTTTGGATTTAGTGTCCGCATTTTGGTTGTCGGCACAGGTGATTTGAACAGAGATGGTACTTCCCAAAGCACTCTCCCTATCAACAGCACTGTTTGACATCAACTTGTACATCAGAGTAGCTTGATTGCTCTTTCCATCTTGGCTGCCAACACCGATTCCTGGCCAACGAACATTGCTAATAGTGGAAATAGGCTCGAGGGAGAAACGGGTATCATTGAGAGCGCAAGCAACTTCAGTATTAATTGAACTGGCGTCATTATCGACAACGGTAATCTGAGCAATCATAGATCGACCCTGACCTTCAAGGAGATTTCCACACTGATTTTTTCTTCCCTGTTGTTGTGGCATCATGGAAATGTAATTAACAAATATTTCGGGAGCTTCGTCGTTCACGTCAATAATTTCGACATAGACAGGAACTCTAGATGAAAGTGGGGGTTTCCCAAAATCAAATGCTTCAACAATAAATCGTAGAAGATAGGATCGTACATTCAAAGGTCGATATCTCAGTCTTGGATTTAATATTTCAACACTATTAATTTGCAACTTTTTTGCTGCTTCTAGGGCTCGTTTCGCAGCTTGTCGGAGGTGACTCTCCGACTTTCTTTGAACGATTAACTGACCCGTCGTAGCGTTTTTTCTGATATCGCCAGATGAATCGGAATTATAATCGTAAGAATTGATGAGTTCGATCTCAAATAGATTAGCTGCCGATGCCTGAGCTTCGGAGAAGGCAAGACTTGTTGACTGTTCGTCTTTACTAGGAATTCTAAAATTTATCCGATGATTCTCATACTTTCCGTCACTATCTGTTGCCTGTAATTGGAGAATAACATGCCCAGGTAGATCATCCTCAGACATAATACCAGAATACTGTGTTTCAGTGAACGTGGGCACATGGTCATTAATGTCTTCGACAATCAGTCTG